GGGCCTTTTGTATAGTTTCTCTTCAGCACTGTATTTCTTCACTGAGTTTGATTCGAAACTCCTCATCTTTGAAGAAAGAGAAACAGAAAGAGAAAACCGAAAGAGCTAAAACTTAAAAGAGCGCTAAACGATCGGATTGAGACTCGAAGTTTGTTGCCAGTGTGCGATAGAAGTCACAAAATAACTTTTTATGCATACATAATTTTCGGATGGATTTTGGCAACCATTTGGAAGAAGTGGAATAAGTTCATTAGCACCTTGACAGTGGAAAAACGTATTTCAACTTCTTTGAAACGTCGCACTTTTTGATGCATCAGCGGGTGTAAAATATGGAAATAAAATTAGAGAAGCTGTTTTGCCTCAACTGTAATGCCACTGGGGAAAATTACAATTTAAAAGGGCCAAAATAGAGAAAAATTGCAACTATAAACTCCTGTTTTTCGTCTGTTTTTATTCAATCGTGTAACCCCAAAACCTACGCCACTGCCACTTGAAGAAAGTGCAATTTGATATCTCAGCTTGAAAGGCCATTATTTTTCTAAGGAAAAGGTAGCATTAGTCAACAGCTCTAATGTCAATCGTTCTAGAGGAAAATGATATTTTATGATGAAAAGCAATTTGTTATTATGGTGGGACGCCAGAAGTGAGTACAACTCTGAAGGTGCCAGCCATACGTGCCAGCGAAACGTCAGGGCCAAACTCACAGTGTTTTTCATTAAATATTTTTTTTTCGAAAACGCCACATTAGGTCATAAAATTAGGAAGAACATTAGGCCATAAAATTACCAATTATCATGGTTCGGTAGATGTTAGGGGCGAAATAATCGGGTTCGAAGAATTGGAATCAAGTTTACAAAACTGCAGTAAATAATCAAAGTACCCAAGAAAGAAAAGTATGCATAGGCCAGGGTGCGCATTTTTATGTTTCAACATACAAACTTTTTCCGGAAGAGMAAGTTTTGCYRCTTTYGGATTTTCYRCTTYCGTGGGGAAATATTTCAATATTTRCTAGCCATATTTTGMAYTAGACGTTTATGAGCTTTYTMRMWGACTTAAAAGACTCTAAAAATCTTGACGGTTTTGATKTYAATGCGCCAACTATTAAWWGATTCCAAAAAAATTCAAAACCSTCTTCCCWATTTYYGGMCCAATTCCTGCGGACATTTTGCAATTGTTTGCTTTTGCAAGCGATTCYACATATYTGGGCAACMGTTTTTAGTGGGGCCTTTTATGGATCATTTCAATYCGGTCSAATATTCCAACGTTTCCATAAACAAAACAGCAATTTRATGGTTTACTGCATTGAGCRTTTACTGCATTTAYTASTGRSKYTTATTATTAGTKKYTATTATCTGCTTGCTGAAGCTSRGAAAATGTAACGATTGATGATTCCGAATAGGAAATATTATATACTATTTCGGCCTCAARTTACTGAAGTCCAASAGMGGCRCCTGAGATTGCGTSTTKTTGACCGGGACATCGAGTTAGATCASTTCTGGTAGGYTGYAAAAACTCKCAAATTGTCTGCAATCTGAAAAGCTTCTAGAAAAATTTTCACTGGTAGCCACAAAATATTTTTTGCGTTTTTKCAGGAAATGGCTAGTCGCTAAGGATGTGCTATGAKGRCGATRAAAAGAGGGTMTAGAGRTMTAAAATATTAATCGAAACMAAKRTTWTCGCCTWTTCAAGTATACGCAACAAGTACGCTTTAATTACTAGGAAAAGYTAATTAGTTATGGCCATTTCCGTCGGTTTTATTTAGATTKAYGCCGGCTTTGGTTGMAAATATCGCCTCCATCGAAAAGTCTTTTAAAAACATAACTTTTTGAGCTATTTATCCAGCWATATWAWTCCAGGCGTTTTCCAGAAAGTCCAAAACGGTTGAAAATGCCAGTTCAAGCTCAATGATATTTYCAAATTACAATCTCTGRCTCCCAACAAGATAGAAGSAAAAAATATTGYCAATTTTAAKCYTACGGTYTATACTATCTGTGTGATATGCACGGCATATTTGCGAGTTTTACGAACAACATTTAGGAGCAAAATGGACACATTTAATCTGGATCTGGATAAGCCGCAATAAGCTTCAGTAGTTCACAATGAGCCCTGATAAACCCCACTGATCCCTTATTAAGGAAAGCTTTTCCATTATATTCTCTTTAGTTACTGTCTAGTCTGGAAACGTTTTGCCAAACGCAATAATCGCAATCAATAATTCTTCCAACTTTGGGATTGGGAATACTTAACTTAAATTAATTTTGACTAAATGAACAAAATGGTGTTTTTTGAGCAATTTTTGGTCGACAAATTGATACTCGATGGCGAATATTTTTTTAGAAACCTAATTATTTACCAGTTTCAGAACAGAAACAACCAAATTTTATTTGTTATTTCAACAGGGTTTACACATGTTAAAAATCGCCATAGGGCTTCGCCCCTGTTCAGGCGTTTGAAAGTTTAAAACCGACCTGGATTTGAAACCGTTCAAAAACTTGCTTCAGCCCCAAGAACCTTTTCGATCGCCTGTTTCAAGCACAATCTTTCACTAATTAGATCTTATCACAAAATCCTAACATTAAAGAAGATAGCACAAATTTAAACATTTTGCGCCTCACGCCATTTAAACTCCATCTCTTCCAAATCAGATGTAATGGACTTTTAATAGACCTTCTCTCAGACTATTCATAAATGTGGTTGCACCGGAAGTTCCTAACCTTTAAAAAGATATACCTAAGCAAAAATTGGAGGCTTTTGCGAAGTTTAAACACCGCATATTTCAGAAACATTCGCCACATCTACTGTACAATCAGGGAGTAGAACTTTTCGATAGTCCGTATCAAGACCTTTCTTGCACCAATTGGCTTTTGTCACAAAATCCTAACCTTCAAAAAGATAGAAGCACCAATATAATAATTTTCGGTCCTTCGAAGTTTGCAACATTATATCTTCGAAACGGTTAGAAACACGAAATTCTCGTGTTGAACTTTTCGATAGTGCTTTTTTCAACTTATATTTCATGAGTTAGGTTTCGGTAGCAATTCTTAACCTGAAGAGAGATAGAAGCCAATATGTCAAAATAATGGAGGCTTTTGAGAACTATAACACTTTATCATATATCTTACTAAATATCATCATACTATATATCTTTCGGTTCGAAATATTAAACCTTCTCGATGGACTGTATCGATAGCCAAATTTTGCCTCTCTCAGACATTTCTAACCTCTAAAGAGGCAATAGTGAAAAACACAAAATCTTTGAAAATCCGCGAAGCTTAAAACACTCTGTATCTCAGAAACGGTTCGAGATATCCAATCAGCTGATAGGACCTTTTTGATTGGCCGCATCGTGATCTGTCTTTCCCTCGTTGGTTTTAAAAACAAATTCTTAACCTCAAAGGAGGTAAACTCAAAAAGAAGATTTAAACTAACCCAAGTCGCAGTTTAAGACACAGTGTAAATCAGAAACTGTTCGATATATCGAATCACTGGATTTTTTTAACTTTCAAGGACTGAAGAAGGACCTAAGAAGACTTTTGGACTGAATTAAGAAGAAGGGACTAAAAGCTAGTATTGAGTTTGACTAAAAGAAGTTTTATAGTCTTAATCCATGAAAGAAAACAGATGTAATGTGGATTATTCCAGTATGAACGGATGGTTTGTTGCCAGCTTGCGATAAAAATCACAAAACAACTACAAGTTTGTATGATTTGGGTTCCATCCAAAAACTTTCAGGAACTTTCAGAATCCACCTTTTGCCACGATGTTGAATACCTCAAATTGTTACTAAAAAACCTTAAAATCTTGATTCAGCGACAATTATTACATCTTCTCAAATAATGCTGTTAAAAAAACGGAAAATGATGATAAAATAGCCAAACGTCGAGATCGTAGCGAGAGTAAAACTGAAATTGTTTTTATGCAGTTTGGAAACAAAAACCTCCAATTTTCTCCCAAATCTTTGCAGCTTTGCTAAAACATGCGGTTGTCTTCAGCATCCTCTAAAGCTGCTCCAAATAGGTGGAAACACTTCTCAATTATTTAAACACTCGTAGATTCACCGCCCGGCTTTTGATTATTAACTTTGATTATTCACTCACCGGTACCCTCCAGCAACAGCACAAATTCATGCAAATGAGCCAAAGAATATATGATATATTCCAGGCATATTTTCGCGTTATGAGCAAAATTTAGGCCCTAATTGGAAAAGTTTGCGACCATAATCTGGATTAGTCGCAACAGGTGAAGCTATTTCCCGTTTGTTCCTAAGCAGTTCTTTAATTGAGGAGGGCTTTTCGGCTTTATTTCCGTCAGTTGCCAGCACCGCTCTTGGACAATAACTAGAAAAATTTCAGTTTAATCGTTGTTTAAACGTCTAGGATTAGCTATTATGAGTCAATTATCTCACTGAAGTCAGACGAATTGCAGCCAAGTCACCAAATGATATTATTTGTGGAATCTTGGCAATGGCAAGTCGCTAAGGAAGGGTCAAGAAAACGATACCGAAAGCCAGTGAAAGTGGGTTTTCGCAATAGTCCCAAAGGAAATATTACCTTCAACCTCTTAGCAAAGGTGGTTATATTGGGTGTTCGCTGATTAATGGTACGAAGCTAAACCACAGTTGTTTTGAATAAAACACACTAAGCTAATGAAAGCTTAAATTAACCTGATGATTCGAGCGAAGCGCCTCTGAAGGTGCAAGGCACTCATGGGAGCAAAACGTCACGTCCTTTTCCAGGATGAACTAGAGGCCCGAAAAACTCCAGTGGAACTTCCAGGAATACCCAGATCTTGGACACAACAGTGATTTTCCCGATTGAACGTGGCCAACCAAACACTCAACTTCCAGTGGAAAACGTTCCAAAAACCCGCATTTGCATATGTTGCAGTTTGGAATATCGATCCAGACAGTCCGCTCTATTCAAGGATGACACTGGAATTAAATGCGGCCAACTTAGAAAACGAGTAAAACGCGATTGTTTATGTTTTTCAGACAGGAATGAAAAGCAATTTTTACATCCCATCGCATCCTCTAAGCCACACATAAATTCAGTAGTCGTGATTCGATCGCGTGTTGTTCGTGGTGTGTTTTTGCAGAAAAACGCATTTTGTCCGTGAAAATCGTCCGCTATTTCCACACAATTTTTCCTTCAGTCATGGCAACAAAATCATCTTTTTTAATAGCGACACGACGATATTTTTAGACTTTTCAGCACGTGTTACTCGCTAGATGATAGCCATGGCACAGGTGGACTTTGATATAAAATGACTGAAGTGGTTTTGCAATGTTAAGGCTTGAACCAGTTCGGTGAAATGCCGGAAATGGTTGATCATTCCAAGCTGGATAAACGTGGAAGTTTCTACTTCCATGAGGAGTCAAGTTCGAGCGCCGGTTCTGAGCAGTGCTCCATTTGTTTGTCGTCAATCATGTCCTCATCGGCCAGCAGCGAGGAAGAAGACCGAATCCTGCAGAGCTTCAAGGCGAAGATCAAGAGGTTCAAGCGAAAGGCGTCTAGGAACAGGAAACTGGGACATAATGGTGGGTTTGAGTAAAAATTTTCTTTTTATCGGCAAAGTTCAATTACCACCCAATCTGCTCGCGAAGGAATTAACGGAGGAAAAGCTTGAATCGATGGATGTCATTTGCATCCACTGAATTATCCCGCTCAACGACATCCAATCTGATTTATATGCGACTGCTTTGGAAAATCCATTTCTTCGCACACGGAAAAGCGTTGTAAGCAAAAATCATCTAAAATTCATTTGTTGGAATGGTTCGGCAATGAAAAGCGCCCATGTGGAGTTGAATTTTAATTGGAATTCGCTTCCCAGTCAGCGGGAAGCGCTGTTTTTACAGGAACAAAACTATTAAAATTGATAATTGCAGTAATTTGCGCGCCTGAAACAGAAACGTGCTTTAATTTCCACAATATAATCATTATTGTTATTGTGGGCTGGGAATTTATTCGATATTTTCCTTCAATCCGAGCGGGTTTTTCGATGTTCAATGTGAATGAACATCAATGCATGGGAAAACACCGGAGGATAATTTGAAGGAAAACTGTTCCCGATCCAACAGCCGTTGGCTCATTTTTGCAAAAATTGCTGCAGTATTTAGTAACTGTGTTGTTCTGTAAAAAATCTTCTAGGCGAAGTGATTGGGGCATTAATTTCCTAAAATCCCGGCAAATTTCCCTCGCAAAATTAGAGTACTCGAACCCAGGAAGGCAATTTTAATTGGAAACGACCCGGCAATTTCAGATGCACTGCCCAATCATTAATGGTAATAAGGCGATTTTCGCTAAGTGCTACTTATTGCCCGCGTTAATAGGCATTAGTTATGCAATTTCCTAATTTCCTCTGCTCATCTTCGTGCCGTGCTTCAGATTAAATCAGGAAAAATTGATGTCCGGAAAGTATGCGAGTACAATTACATGCGCTCCAATTAAAAGCGCACGAAAGGCTAAGGACAAGCCCTTGAATGCGACCCAGTTTGAACGGACAACCTGCAGGAGCCACAACAGCAGGCCGAAATAGCACAAAATCGGAGACTCTTTACGGTGTACAAACACGCCAGTCTTTTGCAGGGCCAAAGGGGGAAAAAGGGCCGCTTTGTTTTAATTAAAACGCCCTTGAACCAAATGCTTTGGCGATCCTCAAGTGAGATTGTGAAGGCAACAGTATGGCTGTTGTTATCTGCAAGGTTGGAATCAGAATGAATATTATTAGCAGGAGGATATGGATTTAATCAGCACTCGAGCAGGATTTGTGGTATTTTGATGGGTTCTGGACAAACACGTGTTTTTCCCAGTATTTACTTGGCGCTTAAGACACGACAAGTTGCGAATATCAAGCAAAAGTTAGGTAGGATTCATGAGGTTTGCTTCTTCTTCCTATTGGCCTTGTAGAATTCTCTGCAGCCCGTTCAAGCACCGCCTCTTTTTATTTATTCATACTTTAGTCGTCTGTAAGCCATTTTCTTCGCCCTTATTAGTTTTGTTGATTCCTTCCGACATTCCGCGAATTTCCTTCGACTTTCATTAGTCAGAAGTTGCGTCATTCGCTACCTGGTTGTTTTGTCTCAGTTGGTTTAGAAATTCCGCGTTCTTATGCTCTGTCCTTCACAGTTTTCAAACACGTTTTCTGCTGTGCTATTTTAGTTCTGCGGTTATAATTTCTTTAGATTCTGTTTCACACTTTCATGATTGTTCGATTCGTTCTCTATACTGAGGATGTGCGGAGTATACCAGTGGATACTTCAGCCTACAGTTCATCCATGTGCCGTTTTGGTGTTGTCTTGGTTCTGTTGTATTTTTGAGTTGATATTGTGATTCTCAGAAGAATTTTTTCAGTTTCAAACAATTGCGGGTTTAGAAGTGTTCTTGTGTGGCTTTCAATAGTCCGAAGAGCATCCTCGACTTTGAGTGCTTCTCAACGTTCAGTCCAAGCTCGAATTTAAGTATCATTTTGTTCATGTGAAGATTTATCCATCATTTTACATACTTTATAATTTTACATTTTTAATGTGAAACCAGTGGATACTTTCAGGAGACTCGCTTAAATGGTAATCGAGTTTTTGCGGTTTTAAAAGGGTCGTTTTAGCACAATTTTCGACAGGTTTTTAACAGTCAAGAAATCGGAGAAAGAAAAAAAGCTTTGTCTTTCCAAATTCCAAGATAACGAAAATTTAGCCGTTTTTGTTGAAGAATCTTTGGATCTTATAATCCAGGACACTGAATGGCTCATGGGAAACCCACTGATTAAAGGATAGAAAGTTTTAGAACCATGTAAGAAAGCTAATGTTTCTCTCTTTTTCGCATATTAAAAATTCCGCACAATAATGACGATACAGACGTCTCTAATGGGACCTTTTGATAGTGGAAAACCCACAACACACTTGTGCGCATTTTGGTCTTTTGAAGGCATTTTTTAATCGGAAAATATTCATTAAGCTAACAGAACTTAATGAATAAGTGTTTCCATCTCGGAGCTTTCCAAATTGCAACAAGCTCAATTTTTTAAGACAATAAAATTCTCAACAACGGAATGGAAAAGGGTACTTTTCACATTCCAAAGTTTCCGGAATACAACGGATCTAGATATGTTGGGAACCGTAAAATTTCTGAACTGAAAACTTCAAACATTCTTTTGCGCCAAACGACCACAATTTTTCACAAGTTTAATTGTTCTAAAAATGTAAATAAAAATCTCTATCTCTAATCTCTAAATTAAAAGTCACCGTTGCAAAAAGTTTCCAACTTCGGAATTATCGACTACCAAAAGCCCAGACACTTAAAACACTTGAATATTTTGGAACACGCAATCGCATACGATCTTCTGTTAATCACGTAGTATTGTTGCGTGAAGCTTTTAGAACCGTCGGAAATATTATTACTTTTGTTTCGAACCGAAGTCTCGTCCGAAGTTCTTCATTTCGTTTTTTAGTTTAAAAAATTACCAAAAGCCACAAAACAAGTCAATCAGATACAGTTTGCCTTACTTATTCACTGATTGGCACTTCACTCCGCGCAATATCGTCAGATCTCGTGATTATCGCGTCAAATTGTTCTGTCTCGTCTATGCGACATTTTGGATCGCGAGTGCCGTCAATAAGACGTGATTTGTGGTCCTAAACTGGACCTAAGTTTTTCACTAGGTTTTAAGCTTAAAATCTGTCGACAAATGAAAATTTGTATATACAGAAATAGTTAGTGCTGTGCAGAGGTTTTGTAATTGAACAACAATTTTGAGGTAGATTTATGTCCAAGTTTGAGAGGCACTTTATTCAAGTTTCTAACAGTTTTCCTGAGAGAAGCTCGAATACTTTGCAAATTTTTATATTTTATCCAATAACTGGTTAAAGACTAGGAATTAGGTTAAATGTATCCGAGGTAGAAGAAGCATCTGAACTTCCACTGTGTTTAAAATTCAATATTTTTTCTTCTAATTGTTGAATTCCTTAAATTTATGAAAACGCCAATCAGTTCTGAAAACGCTCCTCAAAATTGAGGATTTTATTTAATGAAATTTTCCTAATTTGCGCTTACGCGTACGATTTTATTGTTGATTATTATGATATTTTTAGAATTCTTACTGTTCAACTTTACTTTATAATTTAAACTCTCAAGAGCCAAAATAAAAATCTCACATTATTTTTTTTATACAGCATTCATATTTACATAAAGCATTTGAAGAAATAATTCTTCAAACTAGAAAAACTGGATTCTAGAATTACTACTATTAGGATTTGTAATGTTTAATTAAATATATTTTTTATTTTGCTTACCAATTTTTTATTTATTTTTCGACTGTATGTACTGTAATTTGCTTTTATTATGTTTTTCCGTTTGTTTCTGCCACCAATTGATTCGTAATTTATGCTAATAAATTTGTGTTCTTTCCTAGGTTTATGTTGTTTTATTTCGATTTCGAACAAGTTTGCTAAACACAAGAAGTGACGTTTTCGTTCTTTTGTAACGTTCGAGTTTCTGGTTTAATTAAATCGCTCTATTGTGACAAATTGCCGTGAAAATCACGTCGATATGAGGTGACAAAATTGGTGACTTTTTAATCTCGTTTGCTGCTGGCTGGGTTCTAAGAGACATGTGCTCGTTTATTAAATTAGTTTTTCTAACAATTTTTTAACTGTTACATTAATTATTGCTAATGTTTAGTTACTATTGGTAAAACAGGTGAAAAAACAGGTTCAATGTTGGTAAAACTTTTCAGTTTTCAGACAGTTCCAGCGGTTTTAACAGTAAAGCGGTTTTTGACAAAAACTTTGCTAAAATCATCCACTCCCACAATCTCCAGAAAGTTCCTTCCAACAATTTAAACAAAATCTGTGTTGATCGTCTTTTGGTCAGAAACAGCAAGCAGTTAGGACATGTTAATGGCTGTGCTAAAGACTACGCTTTTAATCTCTTTTCTGTTAGTTTGTCGGTTCCAGTTTGGTGGCTTCWKGCTCACTKRAGTGGATCTTAATAMTCYTTKGATCCTCAAAGCACTTTTCTCTGTCAAATCACACATTTTCGGGAGAGCAAGTTCGCCATCAACTTTACCTCTTCCTGTATTGTTTTCATGCAGTTCTCATGTAGCTCATAGTWTGTARCTTTATAGTCTATGTTGTRTTCCCTAGATTCCCTCATTATTTGTCTGGTGTGTTTTGTGCTTCCATTCAAGATTATAAGCAATAATCTGTGGGGAAAARAACTTTTTTATCACTTATTGTAAAACTCATACTCCTAACGTYCCAGGATTTMATTTTCTTTGGGCTGSTTCTGCTTCTCYCGGTGATAAATAAGCTTCCTGTTGAGTGCCAGTAAGAGTAATCACCGATTCTCTCTGTTCATCGCCCATTATTTTTTCGCCGCAGCATTTCTAATGCTGAAGCATATTCATTTTCCTAGTATATGCTTTTCCGCGTTCTGAATTAATTCAGTTGCCGATTGGTTTAAATTTATKTGTCATTTRGCCCATTTTCATAAATATCTCTAATCTGCGTGATGTAGAAGGAAAATTTAGCTATTTTAMGTRACT